TTACTGAAATGGAATCAAACAAAAAATGTGAAAGTTAAGCTAATAAAGTTTCCTCTAGCACAGTGTTTCTCAACCTTGGCGACTTTAAATCCTGTGGACTTCAACTCCCAGAATCCCCCAGCCAGCTCTGGGGAATGGAAACTGAGAGATAATGGCTTCATGACTAAGCATGCACTTGGAAGAAGCCTTCTGGCATGGCTGAGTCTAATGATGCCAGAAGCAAATTGAGGAGTCCTCCAGGCGCGTGTGGAGGAGTTAAGACTGTGGATTCGACCTTCATTTCTCCTCCAGCCACACCAGCCTCCAGCTGGCTGGGGGATTCTGGGAGTTGAAGTCCACAGGTCTTAAAGTCGCCAAGGTTGAGAAACACTGCTCTAGCAAGTATCTAAAGCAGCCTGCTCTAGTCTAGAATCCATGGGTTTGTTAGGACTACAAGGACCAGAATTTGTAACCAGCACGGCTATTGTGTGCAGGCTGAGAATCCTGGCAGCTGTTAGCCAGATTTCACCCAGAGGACCTAGATGGCTTATCCTGGTAGCCTTTCTTCTCCTACATAGCCTAGACATAGATTGCAATTATAGGCCTCAGCAGGTCTTGTTGTAAAGACTGTTTCTGAAGTTCTCCTGTTAAGCGTCTCAAAATCAATCATGGATAATGAGAAAGATTCAAGCGTTCTGGAGCCAGGCTCTCCCAAGTCTGCTGCATGTTTTAATTAGTTTCTTTTCATACAGAAGAAATTGAGTAAAATAATATTTTGGCACATCAACTTTTCTCTCCCCCCTTTTCCCTTCCTGCTTTGGCCACAGAGTATTTCAGAACTGACTTAATTTCATGGTAACTGTGATAGCTTGTGCCCCCAGCTCTGCATTGACTTTCTTAAAAAAAAAACTATTATTGCAAATACTTTGGATCAAAGCCATGGTCACATTGCACTAATTACCTTGTTTTGGAGTCATGAAAATGGATGCATGGGTAATCTTTATAATGAAAATAAATGACAGCTCAACAGAGGCTGCCCTGCATTGTTTGGCATATAATTCATTTTCATGTCCCTTATCACAGGCCTTTAAGACGTTATCTGCCTTTTAAACTAAAGCACATCTGTTCCTTTAATTGAGTGCTGATGTATGGCCCCTAGATAGATCAAAAGAAGTCACAAGACAGATTTATGCATTAGGCTAGATCAGCATTTTTCAAATCTGGCAACTTTTAACATTTGTGGAGTCTCCCAGAAAGAAAAGATAATGAACTCAGAGCCCTCATCTCCACATATCTGCATAATCCCCCCTTTTACACAATCACAACTAGGGCCATTATCAGTACTTGAGATTGCAATTTCCATCGGCTTAACTATATGGTAAAAGAAACTCATGTTTTGTTGTCCTCAACAAATGTTATCAGTTATATATTCTAGCACTATAATCAGGTCTGAGCCCTGAATGGGCTTCAGATGTAGCCTTTCCTCCGAGGGCTTCAGAATCTGCATTCCAACAGGTTTCTCAACAACCCCCCCAAGAGGAAATTGGAAGCAGGAAACAAAACATCTAATACTGTTTCAGCAAGGGGTTGGACTAGAAGACCTCTAAGATGTCCTCTAGCTCTATTCTGATTGATTGATTGATTGATTGGTCAAGGGCTACCTGTAGTTAATTGAAGTTTATTACTGAAATGGAATAAAAAAAATGAAAGTTAAGTTAATAAAGTTTCTTCTAGCAAGTATCTAAAGCAGCCTGCTCTAGAGTCCATGGGTTTGTTAGGACTACAAGTACCAGAATTTGTAACCAGCATGGCTCTTGTGTGCAGGCTGAGAATTCTGGCAGCTGTAGCCAGATTTCACCCAGATTTCACCCAAATGAAAGTTATATATTCTAGCACTATAATCAAGTTTGAACCCTGGCTGCAAATGTATCCTTTCCTCCATGGCCTTCAGAATCTGCATCCCAACCAGTTTCTCATCAACCTTCCCTAAAAAGAGGAAATTGGAAGCAGGAAAAAAAAATCTAATACTGTAAGGTCCAAAGATGATTTCTTCAGGAGCCCCCTTAAATGCAGGGAAGTTACCACCTATGTATATGCAGGCGATACAACCTCTGAATTCACCACTGCTTAGACCCAATTACGTGTTGTCTCCCACAATGTCCTAACCAGCCAAAAGAGACAGATCCAAACAAGTCACTGAAGTAACAGCCCCAAAGGATCCTGTCCTTTTCCTCAAGACAGGAAAGGATCCTGTCCTTTTCCTCCCCAACAGAGGCTTAAACTCATCGCAGATTACCAGGCGTCCATCAATTCCACTAAAAAGTGCAGCCAGAGGAGTTCAAAGGAGACTTTAGTGATTTTAATCAATAGATGCATGGGAGTATTCTTCATACGGTGCCTGCTCCCCTTCTTTCCAAGAGGGGCTGGGTTCACCTTGAAGAACAACCAATCTCCAGACAGGATAAGCGTAGAGAGGTAATTACATTTTGTTGCTCTTATTGTCATGAGTGGATATTTATAGGGTGACCAGACGTCCCTCATCTGGTGGGACAGGCACGCGTTTCAATCATTTTTCCCGCGTCCCGTTGCGTATTGAAAAAGTACCGATTTTCCAAAAGAAAGAAAATCAATTTTAAAAAGGACGCTGTGAAAAAAAAAAGTTCTCTAAACTGTCGTTCCTTTTTTTTTTTTTTAGTACAAATCTTTTTATTTCCATTTCATTCTATACAATCACATGTTTACTGTGNCAATTTCTAAGGCCCTAGAACAGAGGATAAAATACCCCAAGACCCAACACCCAGCTGCACCCGGCCTCTATATCATTCTTCCTTACCTGTATGTGTGCGAAGATGAGCCTTGAGATGGGAACTCTTGGTATATGTCTTCCCACAACTGGGATGACTGCAGACGTGACTAGCCGGACGCTTGTGGCCCCATTGTTTGTGTCCTTTCCTTGACTTGGCTGCGGCTTCTCTCATAGGCGAAGGTGGTTTCCTCAAACCATGGAGTGGCGGCAGAGCATGGAGAGCATTATCTGCCTGGTACATTTGAGCTCGGGCTTGATATGGACTATGGGAGAAAGGATGGTGGTAACCATTCAACAGACTGCAGTGTGGCAGCGGAGAAGCCACTGCAGCTGGTGGAAGCTGATTGTAGGAAGCATGTTTGCCTAGCAAGTCAGGACTTGGCGGTACGTGGGCTTCACAGGCTACATGATAATATTGCCCATGAGATCTTTGTCTGGGTCCCCTGGGCTGTTGCTCTGCTATGGCAAGACCCATAGAATCTCCCTGGGCAAAGTGTGGCAACTGATTGTTGGGAAACACTAGATCCTTATTGGGCTCTAATATACCCTGGAAATAACTGGGTAGAACCGGGGTACAGTTCACAGATTGCTCTTTGAGCAAGAACTGGGCTTCCGAGCTTGAGGGACCAGGAACTTCTGGAGCCTTCAGGTTTCCTGGGAGCTTTTCTCTGATGACTTCCTCCTCAACTGACGTTGCCTGACAGACAGCAGGCATCGATATCTGGTCCACTGGGTCATCTCGAGGAAGGCTGGCATTTTGCCCAGAGGTAGAAAAATTTCTTAGGAGAAATTCAAGATCCCAATTGGCTTCCTCATGCTCCTGCTTGATGGACTGGTTCCCCTCAGGTTGGTTCGCCTCCAAGAACTCCAGAGAGGGAGTTTCGGGGCAATCTTCTGTCTTCCACCACTAGAAAGCAAATAAATAGCTTATGAAATAAATTGTGTCCCAGGTACGAAAGAAGCTGAGTGGGAGGGAGAAACAAGCAGACACTTGTAATAAGTGCCTTTCACTAATTGAAAGAAAGAAGGAGATCACAAAAGTTGTGATGGATGAGCTTCAGAAGCACAGGCTGAAGCCTGCCATTAAGGTGGAGATAAGAAGCCCACTATCACAAGGCTGCATACATTTCTGTCTTACAGTTGGGAGAGGCTGTAAGCTAGTTATCTCACTGGCCCTTAGAAACAGGCAACAGAAACATTCAGCACTCAAGAGGCTTTTTCAGGCTTGGACAGCAGCATCCTATGGTTATTCTACTCTAGACTTTCAGGAACTACAGATTAGAAGAGTAGAACACTTAACATTTGTTCTTTGAAGAGCATCACATGATTGTAAGAAGGATTGAGTAAATAACCGTACAATAAAACTGTTTACGATCTGTGTATTATTATAGCAGGGTAAATCAACAGAAGAAGCAGCCATTTATTTTATTTCTTCCCAAAATTAGATGTGATGCCATAAATGCAGTATCTCCACTGCTTGTATTCAGGTTCTGACCCGCAGCTACAATATATATGATAAATTATCACTTTAAATCCATGACCGCTGATCACCATTTTATGAAATTATGAGATGCTACAAAGGAGAGATTAAAAGCATTAGACACTATGCTATAAATGCAGGTAACATTAGGAAAACTTAGTATTAAAAACTAATCAACAAGATTATAAATCTATTTTGCAGGCAAAACTCTTTACATTCTAAATATAATGAAGTAATATGTACATGCATGTATATAACCTATAAGTTTAAGATTTAAACCTATAGGTTTAAACTTAAGAGTACGGTATATAATATATATTTTATATGTATATAAATAATAGTATTTAATATTAATAAATAGCACTTATTATTAATATTAATAGTATTAATAATATTAGTTTGCTGCTAAAAGAAAATTTGCAACTCCTCTAGGGGATATTAAGAGTTCCTTTACAGTAAGAAGCAAATCAACTCTTCAGAGAACCACTGATATTATTATTAATAAGTAGAATTACAGGAGTAGGGTGCAAGAATGCTATAGAAAAAAAAAATCCAAGAAATGTGTGAGCTAGAGTTTTAAGTTTATCCAGGTGAGATGATTCAATCCTATTTTTTGAATTCCTTGTTTTCCTATTTTTTAAAAATAATAGTATCTGCCTGAATCCTGAATTCTGCACACCACATGCCACATTTTACTGTGCCTAAAATATATTTATCACTCAACTATTATTTTGTAACTGTGTAATATTTTTCTTTATGGGTAAACTACATTTTAAAAAATAGGTTACCGTACAAAAAACTAATCATATGTGTGCACTTTACAATATAGCATTTCAGTTAAGGTATAACAACTGTAATACAATGGTTTCCACTTGGAATTTGGCAGTTTTAAACTGTTTTTTTTTCCCTTCTAACTTCTGCTTTCCCAGTGCAACTTTTCCTCCCTATTAGAACCTTAATCCCACCATAAGCGTCAAAGGAGACGTCATAATCCCTTGCAGTCCTCTTCTACATAGTTTGTTCTAATCAAAAAACTTGGAGAAACTGACTTTAAAAATAAACTATGATGCATAATCAATGTAAGACCAATAAAATTGCAAGCTAGCATGAAGTGTGAATTCAGCTCCTACAATTAGTTTGTGGTTCAGCTAGTCTAAAGCCATAGTATTTTATCACAGTTAAAACATAGTTTAATCATGAATAAATTTGTCTTACAAACAATAATTACGGGCAATGGGAGTGGGGTCATTTTGTTCCTTTCACATTGATTACAGGATTTTATCAAGAGTTCCAGAAGGCTTCAGGAAAGTTCCTTCTGAGAAGCATTATATTCACTGATTCAGCCCACTGATTAGACCTTAGTTCTATCCTAGTTTTATGGGTCTTATCTACCAGGTCTGCACAGACACATCACTTAATTTAAAGTGCAAAAAAACACTCTAAAACTAATGACATTATCTCTCCCAGACAGATTTACGATCAACATGAAATATGTTCCAAATAATGCAAACATTCTACACATTTTTGCATTAAACAAACACTCCAAAACCAGCAACTTCTATTTATCTATTTCATTAGCATTATATCCTGTCTTCCCTTCAGAAGGAAAACTTGGTGCCCCAAACTTTCTGTTCTACTTACTTTCTTTGTAAAACCAGTAATGCCTCCTATTTTTTTCCCACCAACTGGCTAGAGGAACTCCTAAAATGCAAAAGTTTACAATACCTTGCCCACATCTGTTCTGGAAAGAAACCTTCATTTTGTAAGCAACAGACTGGGGTCCAGCTGGGAGCCTATACTTATTAGCACCTCCAATCCCTTCAGACATTTTCAATTCTTACCCAAAGGACACCTTCAGCCAGCCAGCTAATATCCCCTACAACTTCTCACCTGGAAACCTTCAGATTGTATATCCTGGAAATTGTTAAATGACGCCAGGATACCAGCTGGGGGTAACACAGCCTCCACAAAAGCCATGCCTTATTAAAAAGCTATGTCCCTGAAAGAAAAGGAAGAAAAATGAATAAGGTAGTATCACACCTCTCAAATCTTTTGCTTACTCCTAGGCTACACACTTCTCAGGTGTAAAAGTTTACTTATATGACTCTCCTATAAACATCATCCCCACCCAAACGTTACACCTTCCTTTCCATCATTCAGAGCAAACCTTTCTACTTTAGGTGTCACCATCAATGGTTTTCTTGCTTTAATTCTCTCCTTCCTTTGAAGGTTTGAACAAGACCGAAAACTAAATGAAGCTACCTAAACCAATCAGAAGAAGGGGGTGTGGCTAGTGAAGGGACAAGCTGCAGCTGGATTAGGAATAATCATAATTGCCCTGTTTGTAGCAGTAGTTAACTTTCTTTGAAATAACAGAGATAAGGATGAATTCAGTTCAGTCAGTGATCATCTTTTGTTTGTTTGTTTATGTGTGTGGGTGTGCATTTATCTGTGTGTATATTTATATGTATTTAGTTTATTTAGAAAATAGAATGACTACAAATAAAACACATTGCTCCCTTGAAAGGAATAAGGTGGACCAAGCAGTTCTAATTTGGACTTTGGAAGGAAGAAAAAAAGATCAAACAATATGTTATATTGTTAGGCATGTTACAAATATAAGAGTTAAAGGAAGGCATATAATTTGCAGTTTTCTAGATGCTTTCAGCATTTAAGATTATTAGTAAAAAAAAAATCATAGCCATTTTATTGGGAGGGGGAGGGGGAGGGGGAGGAATTGTTTAGTACCCAAAACCTGCAATTTGAAACCCATCAAGGATTAGCTTGCAATCATATGCATCGACTCAGAAGTAAATTGCACTAAATTTAGTTGGGTTATATCGTTCAATAAAGATTATATGATTGCCTCTGAAAGCCCTTTAAGACTTTGTGCAATACATAATGCAATTTTTAAAATATACACCTAGAATGCCTCACTAACTAAAGTGAGACCTTTGGAATATCTCTAAGAAAAACTATGCAGATCTCACAGAGAATGAGTGAATCACTAGTTTTACATGCAAATTTGTAGTAGTCTGCCTGGCTAAGCTTTGAAAGGATTTTTCTACACCCTCTAGCTCAAAATACCATCAGGCTAAGGTCATGAATGAAAGGGAGCCTTGAAGCAACATTCACAATATAGAAGGCAATATAGTAATGGTCAGTCCAAGAGAAGATCAACTGTGACTGCTCTTGAGAAGGCCAGACCCTGAAGATGAAACTCAAATACTTTGGCCACTTAAGGAGAAGGAAGGACTCCCTGGAGAAGAGCCTCATGCTGGGAAAGATTTGAGGGCAAAGGAAGAGGAAGGGGACAACAGA